CGATTGGAGTAGGGATTATTCAGGCAAACTGGACACCCATAAATCTAAGGGCCCAGATGGGATGCACCCAAGAGTGCTGAAGGAACTGGCGGGGGTCATTGCTCATCCGCTCTCCATCATCTTCAAGAGGTCATGGAGAGCGGGGGAGGTGCTCGAGGACTGGAAGAAAGCCAGCATCACTCCAGTCTTCAAAAAGGGCAAGAGGGAGGAGGCAGGAAACTACAGGACGGTCAGCCACACTTCCATCCCTGGAAAGGTGATTGAGCCCGTCTCCCATAACATTCTCATAGGAAAGTTCCGGAAGTGTGGACTGGATGAGTGGACAATGAAGTGGATTGAGAACTGGCTGAATGGCAGAGCTCAGAGGGTCATGATAAATGGGGCCGAGTCTATGGGGCCCTGAGCAAGTTTGCAGATGACACCAAACAGGGAGGAGTGACCGACAGGTCCGAGGGCTGTGCTGCTATTCATAAAGACCTAGATATGATTGAAAGTTGGGCAGAGAGGAACCTCATGAGGTTCAACAAGGACAAGTGCAGGGTCCTCCCCCTGAGGAGGAATAACCCAAGGCACCAGCACAGATTAGGTTTGACCTTCTGGAAAGCAGCTCTGCAGAGAGGGATTTGGGAGTTCTGGTTGACATTAAGTTAACCATGAGGCAGCAACGTGCCCTGGTGGCCAAGAAGGCCAATGGGCTCCTGGCTGCAGCAGGAGGAGCGTTGGCAGCAGGGCCAGGGAGGGGATCCTGCCCCTCTGCTCAGTTCTGGGGAGGCACCTGGAGTATTACGTGCACTTCTGGGCTCCCCAGGACAAGAAGGACATTGAGCTTCTACAAAGGGTGCAACACAGAGCAACAAAGATGATGAAGGGACTGCAGCATCTATTTTATGAGGAAAGACTAAGTGAGCTGGGCCTGTTTAGGCTGGAGAAGAGAAGACTAAGAGTAGATTTGATCAATATGTTCAAGTACCTGAGGGGTGAATGTAGGGAAGATGGAGCCAGGCTCCTCTCCTGGACAAGGACAAGGTAACAGGACAAGGGGTAACGCGTATAAGTTGAGACTCAGGAAGTTTAATCTCCATATGAGAAATAATTTCTATGCTGTGAGGGTGCCAGAGCCCTGGAACAGGCTGCCCAGAGAGGCTGTGGAGTCTCCTTCTCTGGAGATCTTCAAAACCCTCCTGGACACCATCCTGTGCCCCGTGCTCTGGGTGTCTCTGCTCGACCATGGAGGTTGAAGTAGATGATCTCCAGAGGTTTCATCCAACCTATACCGTTCTGTGATTCTGTGATCAGAAACTGCTAGATAATGACCAGCATTCTTGGAAAACATCTATTAATGATTATTACCAGAATGGCAAACAGACCTGCCATGCAAAGCTAAAATGGGGAGATTCACAAGATAGGCCAGACGTGTCCTGGGTCTCTCTGCCCTTACCTGTAGTTTTCTCTTCAGCGATTCACTCTTCTTCTTCTTCACAGTTTCATTCCATCTTAGGATGGCATCATGCTCATTTGTGATCGCAGGCTGTGTATGAAAAAGCAATAGGAGTTATTACCTGCATTTCCCAACACACTGATCAGATCCCTATGTTTTTAAGACCAAAGGGTTCCTCCCTAATAACAGGCAAAAACTGCATGGCCTTTCTGCTTTCTCCATCAAGTCCATCAGTTTGGTTCAGTTAGATCACATGCAAAACCCCCAGTTTTCTTAAACACATGAAGTATCCATTCCGCTTCCCTGCAAACTGCCTGACTTGTTACAATTGCACACACCAGCTCTGCTGGTGCTAGCTCGAACCAGCTTCTCCTCACGTAATACTTGGAGGCTCTAAAGAAGTTGTGTTGTAATATGTGCTTGGACATAGCAATCAGACCGTGTGATAATGTAGGGATGAAGTTTTGTATCAAAATTATGCTACAAAGATACTCCTTTTCTGAAAACACTGATACTGTGACACTTTGGCATAGTCACATAAAATATAAGAAAAGAAAGTCTTGTTAGTCCAGCCCCACTTGCTCTAGCCCTGCTCTGTTTTCTTAAGGCCAGTACTTTGCATTTATGTTGGTGCTGTGCAAGCAGGGATCACTTCATACCCACAACTGTTGCTTTGATGACTGCTGCTTTGTCTGCTGACAAGTGCTCCTTGTCAGTCTCTTTGCGTGCTTCAAATCTTAAGTATAAAAAATACTCACGTGTACGCTCCTTACTTCCCTGAAAAGAATGAAAACAAAAGGACCATTTTAGCAGACGGTACTCCTCAGCTCCTGCCAGCACAAGGGAAGGAGGACAGTGCTGAGATGCACATGTTCACAGTCATGCTCGGTCGGAACCAGCATCACCCACCCTCAGCTCAGCTCCACCATGGGCTAGGACTCAATGATTTGCAAGAATGCCCCTTTTTTCTCACTCCAAAGATATCTCATGTCCAGAAGCCAAAAAGAGACTGTCACAAGACAGCAGGAGATTTTCCTCTTGCAGTTTGGCTGCAGGCCTGGTACACACAACTCCCTCAGGACCCCTGGACTTCAAGAAGAGCTTGTTTCATTACCTCTTGTATTCCTCAAGGTCCAGGTCATCGGACTTTGTGATCACCAAAGACAGGTCCCTGCACATCCCACTCTGGAAAGCCTTCATGGCTTCATTCAGGATGTTCTCATGGGTTTTGTCTCCTTGAATACGCCCAAAAGCACTGACTACCCAGATGACAGAGCATTTGTTGATGTTCTACAAGGGGCAGTAGGGGAAGAGGGACCAGAGAGACAAGATACAAACATCAGCAAACAATAAATGCCAGAAATGGTCAACACTTTCAATAGCAAGGAATTGGCTGATGAAGAGGTTGTGCGGTCTTTGTGGGAATGCATTTCCAGCTGGAGACCTCAACCACCCATCCTGAAATCCTACAGCTCAGTGATGCAGCTGTTGGGGAGTTTGGAATGAGCATGAGTGCTCATCCTTGCAAAGCATTTGGGAGCAGCTGGACACCAGGTGGGAAGAAGAATGAACATGGTATCAGCATCTTATGAAATTCAACCAAGCCAAGTGCAAGGTCCTGCCCCTGGGGAGGAATAACCCCAGACACCAGTACAGGCTGGGGACCGA